AGAAAGAATCCATCATTATTTCCACTAAAATATTAACCATCACAACCATTTTCAACATTGATGTGAGCAGAAAATCATCATATCAGAATGACTTCTGAAGGCTCATGTGACACTGAAGGCTGGAGTAATGATACTGAGAATTCAGCCTTGTTATCACATTAACATTTTAAAATACAAAACAGTTATTTTAACAATATTACTTCACAATATTTACACTTTTTGTATTTCAGGTCAAGTAAATGCAGCCTTGGTGAGCATAGGAAACATTACAAAAATTGTAGTGATCCTTTTGAACTGTATTGTAAAAACACCTAAAATGTCACCATTACGTCAAGCTCACATAAGAATAATATTCATAAAAAAATCTCCACTTTAGTTAAACCCGACATATTCTGTAAAGCTTGGGAGTGGAGCTTAATAAAGGGTCAATGTCAAATAAGTTCACCTTTTAAAAACAAATCTAGTGAACCTGTCACAACTTGACGTAAATAGTATCCAAAGTATTGCGTAAAACATCCCAAGTGACAGTTATGCAATTGTTGCTTTGGAGACAGCCCAAGAATTGTTTTAACTGTACAGTAGAAGCAGCAGCTACGTTTCGGCACAGTATGTACCGTAGCAATCCTGCGTGCTTTATTCTTTGCGCAGTGCTGGAGTGAAAGTTAATGGACAGTGCTCTGCATGGCTCGGTGGCCTCGGAGGTCTCGTACGGCAGTGTGATGTCTAAGCCCACTTCACTCAGTAATTAAGCAGCCCAGCAGTCAGGATTCACAGAGCCACACTGCTGCCAGATCATTAAGACTGCGCCTCACTCACAGCCCAGCCATGCGGGGACTAGTGACATTCTCACAGAGACTCCCGGGAAGACATTCTATTACACTCCTTATTGAACGTTCTAATAACGTGAATTGCATTTCACTCAGCAGCATTCTATTGAAGAAGCTAAACCAATTCCAACATTCTAAATAAGTCATAACATTCCTTTTTACTTCCCCAACATTCTATTTGGCTCCATAACATGAAAATGAAATATTTTTGCAAACTACATTTACATTTATTCATTTAGCTGACGCTTTTATCCAAAGCGACCTACAATTGCTATATATGTCAGAGGTCGCACGCCTCTTGCTCAGGGACACATTGGTGTCTCACAGTGGATTCGAACCCGGGTCTCTCACACCAAAGGCATGTGTCTTATCCACTGCGCCATCACCACCCTAACTAAACTAGTAACCGAACCAAGAAAAAAAGAAAAAAAAAACGACCGCAAACTTTTACACTTTTTCTTATGGCCTTAAAGGGTTAGTTCACCCAAAAATGTCAATTCTGTCAGTATTTACTCACCCTCACGTTGTTCCAACCCCGTAAGACCTTCGTTCATCTTCGGAACACGAATTAAGATATTTTTGATGATGAAATACTAGTCCATAGGCTTCTTGAGGGATTGAAACTTGCCGGTCTCGAAAAGTTATTAAAGACATCGTTAAAATAGTCCAAGTGACTACAGTGGCTAAATCTTAACTTTATTAAGCGACGAGAACACTTTTTGTGCGCAAAAAACGACTTTATTTCAATTTTCGAGCTTCTGTTATTGTACGTCACACGCATGACCAGCGTCGTCCAATAGTGAGCCTACGTGTGACGTAGCTCTACGCTATCACACTACGTTAACTGACAAGAGGCCCACAGAGAAGGAAGTGAATAGTTGAAATAAAATCGTTATTTTTGTTTGTTTTTGCGCACAAAAAGTGTTAACGATTTTAACGATGTCTTTAATAACTTTGAGGCCCGGCAAGTTTCAATCCCTCAAGAAGCCTATGGACTAGTATGGAGGAGTGATCCAGCTCTCAGATTTCATCAAAAATATCTTAATTCATGTTCCGAAGATGAACGAAGGTCTTACGGGGTTGGAACAACATGAGGGCGAGTAAATACTGACAGAATTGACATTTTTGGGTGAACTAACCCTTTAAGCTGCATTCACACTACCAGCGACACGCAGTGACATGATCCCATTCATTTCAGTGGAGGAGAGCTGGCAATTTCTAGCAGATTTCTATATATAAATGTTTCAATCTTAAATACATTCCATAAGGTGTGGTCACATTTACAGATGTTCTGCAAAATTAGCCAATCATTTCAATAGAAGTCCACGCAAATAAGAATTTTCGCGCAGACTTTGCGACGGGTTCAAGTTGATCACACGAATCCGTTGCAATGAACGACAGAAAGCGACTTTCAGTTCGAAAGTGACTTGTGTCAGTTGTGCTTCAAATCTCTAAACCATGGAACTTTGGAAAAGGAAAAGGCGTGGTCACTAATGGTGCGTTCTATTATTCATCCGTCTCGGAGATCCGAATCGGACGACAGACGTTGCCTAGCAACACGCCCCCTTTACTCGGATTTCTCCTCTCGGACGTCGGACAACCGTGAGGACACGGAGCAAGAATTCCGTTTCGGAATTCAAGATGGCTGCGCCCTGTGACTTGTAAGAATGAATTGTTTTCATTGTTTTTGAACCGCTTTGGTATTTTAAATGACGATTATAATCACTCGTATTACTGCGTCCCCTGTAGCTATGGGAATCGGTTGTTGTGAGTGCAATTACTAACGTTGCTAGCGTCGCTAACATGAAAAACATTAAATAAAGTGAACATTTTCAAGTTCAAATGGCTGCGTTTTGATAAGGTGTAGTCATCATATATATATATTTTTTAATGTTAGTGCCTGTTACTCGGACAGTGCTACCATTATAACAGCTTTCCGGGTGGCGTCCATTTTTTTTTCCGGGTGGCGTCCATTTTTTTCTGACGTGACATAATAGAACGCACCATAATGTTTACATTTGCCGTTTCATGTCGTAAGAATATTTCTTGCATATTGTTTTCAATCCTGTTTCAAACAGTCAGAGATGTCTTTATCAAATTAGCTTGGTGAATTTTTGACTGTAACACATCATCTTGAGTGACCTCTTGAAGACACAAACAGGCTGGTGCCTACGGGGCAGTGATTGCATCTAATTAACACAGCCTGACAAAATAAGTTCCCGTCCAGTAATCACTATTTGTTTGCTCTGTCATATTCATTAAGGCGGTCGACATGGATTGATGTGTTTATTTATAACGTAGGGTTGGATGGCCTCCATAAGTGCATAAGCCAAAACAGTGGTTCATCAGATTCGCGTCTGCCGGCCCCCGATTGATTCAAGAGGGGGTCTAATTACGTTAGCTGCTCATTATCAGGACACTGGAGCCTAATGGATGGACTCTATTGATTGCCTGTGCAATTAACGTTAACTCACACTGGTTCTGCCAGGAGAGCGGGTGCTCACGTGCGCTTCAACTGGACGCCGGTCTCACCCAGTTATTGGGCCAATCGGCACCTTGGCATTCAGCCAGTTAAAAATCTAATACTGCTAATGCACATATATGATCAATTTCATTCAGGGAAAATGTATGCCGATTCTTGTTTACTTAGCACTTTATTGAAAACACAAGGTTATTATTAACGTGCTGATGTTTTTACTTGGCAACATAAACACTGGAAAGCCAAATCGGACTTGCTCAGAAATGCATCAGACGTCATGGTTCCATATATCCCGACACTATGGATTTTTTGATGGTGCAGTGGGTTGGAGCATGAGGGAATGGCAGAGTAATCTGCATATTTAGAGTACATAGATGAAGGACTTAAAGCCGGATCAATGTAACAGTTCCCTGATTCTCTATAGCGACTCTGGGAATGTACACTGGGGTTTAAAACAAACAGAAAATATTTGATTCTGGGCTATTTTAGGCTACTAACTAAGAAGTCACATGTTCTTGCTTCCACTGAAACACAAGATTCTCTTTGGATTATTCTCAAATCATGCTGGAGAGCAATACTGAAGGTTTTCCCCCCTCAAATTATAATGCACACTTGATAATTTGTTAATAAAAGCACATTTTCAAATGATGTTGGACAACAATACTAAGAATTTTTTTAAATTGACTCTTAGCAACCGTAACTAGGCGCGGGAGGTCTGTCAAGCTTTCGAGCGAGGGAAACATGCCGAAGCATTGTGCGTATGGATTGTGCAAATCTGATACCCGGTATCCTAAAAGTTTGGACGGGGAAGTGGATTTTTTTTCCTTCCCGAAAATCTAAAAGCCGCGGGGAGAAATAATGGCCGTGATCAAGCAGTGTGGGAGACCCATTCACAACTAAATGTCGACAGGATTAACAAAAACACCTATTGCTTGGAAATTATTTTAACTTAAAATAAGACTATTAAAGACAAGACGGAGGCTCACTGACATACTTTAAAATATATTTGGGCATTTTGTTAATCAACGGCCTACTACCACTAAGTAACTTTAACCCAATCCGATCGCGGCTCTCCCGGTGTTAGTGTTATTCCACAAGATTTATGGATAAGCTGTTTGATTTATATGATTATTTTCACATTTCACTTACCCTGCTGTGCAAGAACTGTTCCTCAATTTGTGTGTTTCCCATTTAAATGGTCTACAAATAAATGGACTATAGGCATTAGCTTAAATTTTTTAAGAAATTATTCTCTAATCAGTTGCATATTACGTCGTGGATATAACCCTCGAATTGAATCCTGCAGTCCCTTTTGTCTTGGTCTCTCAGATATTTCACATGTTCGCCAAAAATGGCTAATTATCTGATTGGGAATAGATGTGCCAGCCGCGAAAGCTTGACAGGCATAGCAACAGTAACTAGGGAGGGTGGGGATTAGCGAAGGGTCATGCAAATACCCTCTATTTAACTACAAAATGCAAAATAAACCCAGTTCCACTGGTGGGTTGACATTTGGATCCCACTGTATCTTAGAGTTATTTGTATTTGCATTCTGGATTCGACAAGGGAATACTGAACATGAAATGTTTTGGATTCCAGTCAGTCAACTTGTGAACTTTGAAATCGAAGGTTTGATTCACTTCAGTACAAGAATTTTTAAACAAGTCAATCAAATTTAAGAGGCAGCGATTCACCTATCTTCCACCGCCGTGGCTCCCAGCAGGATGAAATCCTTTTCGATGACATCATAAGCTTCAGCCAGTTTCTTGTCACGCTCCTGCAGAGCTAGTTTAGCGCTGTTGAGGAGATGGCACGTTTTCTCATACTCCTCATGAGTCAGCTTCTTATAAGCCACACAGAGAGTCCGTAAACCCTCCTACAAGGGAAAGATTTGAAACAAGTTGTCAGCTTAGCCTACCAGGTCCATTCATTTGCTAAAAGAGACAAAATTCAACACCAGAATTCATTCCTTGTCCCAAAACAGCATTCATCTTAGATATAACTAAATATAGGTTTACATAACATAAAAGGAAAGAACAATTACCAAATGCGAAGAGAAATTTAAAGCTACACTGTGTGAGTTTTACCCCCATCTAGAGGTGAAAAGTTATATGACCATCCAGTGAATATTAGTTTGATTGATTTCGTTTTAACTCCTACGGTGGCCACTGTAGTCCAAGATTAACATGGCTTCCAGTTCGACCTCGCCCATGAGCGTTAACTCAAACGTAAACGCGAAACGCACGGGTGTGTCCCTCTTTGGCTAATGTACTTTCAAGATGGAGGGGCAACATGGCGACCGACATTAGAAGCCCTTACCCGTATGTATTTTCAATGGCCTATTACACACTCACGAGAATACTTTATTACTTGAACGAAGTAAATATACATTAATGAGCACATATATTTTTGAAAGAACTAAGTGTTTTTAGCTAAGAATAAACTAAGAGTTACACAGTGTAGCTTTAATGTTGACATTATTTATTCACACTTGTATTGTTCCAAATTTGTTACTTTCTTTTTTCTGTTGTGAAACAATGATATTTTGCAGAGTGCTCACGCCGCTCTTTTCCATAGAATCAATCATGTGTTGACTCAAGCTCCAAAAAGGCCAAAATATTGTGCTTATGTGCAATATTCAAAATCAAATTTAAATTATGTGTTTTTATTTGCCTTTTTTTTAACTTGACTTGCTTTAGTTGTATGCAAAAGAGCAGCATGAACATTCTGAAAAACATTTAATTTTCCATGTAAGAAAGGACTTTTCACACTGGACTTAAAAGAGAACTCCGGTCAAACAGATCATTATATTCATTAGATTATAAACAGCAAAATGTACAAATGACTTCTGGTGCTATAGGTACATCGAGATATTAAACTAATAACAGTTGTAATAGAAAAGCTAATGAGAATGCAAATGCATACATAGAACGGCAATAAAGACTAGAACCCGACCGATAAAGGATTTTGAAGGCCGATACCAATACAAATATTTTTGGGTTTTAAAACCCGATATTCCGATATATCGGCCGATATTTTATTTATTTTTTAAATTTTTTTAAACTGGACAGTCACAAACTGATAGTCACAAATTTTGTCATGCTTATTTTAGTTAAAAGAACTGATGGGGATGTTCTTTTAATTGTTATTCAAGCAATGTATGTATCGTGACCAACTCAACGAGTGTTGCCAACATAACTATACAACTCCAACACTCATGACATGGTTCAAGCGTGTTTCGTCTGTTTTTATTTTATTTTTGAAATATTCATTTATCGGCCATTATAACTGCCGATACCGATAGTTTGGAAAATGCCTAATATCGGCCGATAATATCGGTCTGCCGATATATCGGTCTGGCTCTAATCAAGACTTTCTGGTTTCTTTCTCGTTTTACTGTAGGTACTTTTCTCTTTCAGCCTTTCTATTGAAGATGATGCTCATGCTAAACAAGCTGCACAAGCAAACAAAGAGGAGCTTTTTTTACACCAAGATCTAAAAAGGTGCTTTTGTGGCCTATTAATAGCTCTGCTCAAATAGGAAAGAAGATGAAGTTGTTTCCGATTTCTGCTCACCACAGCGTTGTGCTCTACTCGCGCTCTGACCGGCTCCACCTTCCCGGAAACCACCCGTGGGAAAATAGAGGAATCTGCACCTTTACAGAACAAGTAGTACTCTCCTAGAACAAACAAACAAACAATTATGAACACATACAACTAGAAGAAACTGTATAACCCCAGGAATTGCATGCTTTCAATAAATTCATAATAGGTATTAAATGGACAGTTCTGAAAATTCTCTCATCATTTACTCACCCTCATGCCTATCTTATGTATATGACTTTCCTTCAGATAAACACAAACAAAGATTTTTTTTTAGAAAATTTTCCATCTCTCCACACAAAACCCTTGTGATGATAATCCATACCACCCCAGTTACTGCTTTACTATCATATGAGCGTTCATGAGAGGTAAGCGCGAGAAGTGGTGGTCCTCGCGTGAACTTAAAGTTAAACTTGTGAACGCACCTAGGACAGTTGGCTGGAAGTGATAGTTTATAGTTAAAAGAGTGCAGTATTTTAGCATTTTTCTTGCTAAGAAGAAGACATAAGCGACGTTTATATGGAAACCTTTTATTTCAGTCTGAATTCATTCCGATTGATTAAACCAAACAAAGTGTTTACATGAACGTTAAATAAAGTGATCAGGTTGACGTGCGCGTGAATTGTTCTGCTTATATTTATCATGCAGGAAAAACTGCACCTGAAACAAGGTGTCTATGGATGAGAGTCTGAAAACCAGGACTTCACAAACAATGAGTGAAGGAACACCATTTCTACGCCATTGAACATACACAACTCTAGTTTCGTTTTTCTATCCGATTCAGTGTAAACATGTCCTCTCGATCAGATTAGAAAAGGTGTAAACCACGTCTTACAAATTTAATCGGATTTGGCCAATTTAATTGACATGGATGTGCTAGTAGTCTTTCAATCGGATTATAAAGGTCCATGTAAAAGCTGCTATTGATTCATCCATTGGGGTTGTACAGATTGCCATCATGAACGCTTTGTGAGGTTTTCCAAGGGTCAAATGAACGCCACACATTCAATGGCATTATATGGACTCGCGATGGATTATTTTCCTAAAAATCTGAAGAAAGAAAGTCATTTAAATTGGGGATGGCATGAAGGAAAGTACATAAGAGAATTACACATTTTTGGGGTGAACTATCCCTTTAATTCGTAATTGTAGCAAAAAAAGTCAACATGAAATAAAAACGAACCCGTTTCTCTCAGAAAAACTATCATACATCACAATATGGAAATAAAATTGGTCATGAGCATCATTTCATTGTTTTAAATTAGCATATTAGTTATGCTGTCAGGTTCTCAGTATATTCAAGATTATCTTCAGTTTTTTAATCAAAAGAGCAGTTATCAGGTCAATTGTATGTGACTGAATGTCATACAGATGTTAAATCTAGCTCTCGTTTGTATGCTAGTAGCACACTGACCCACTTGCATTAACTGGCTCCTCAATTTGGGCACACATGGTGACTCAGACACTTTCACTGGAATGTTTAACAGTCACTTGCTGTTCCAGTGTGTGTGTGTGTGTGTGTGTGTGTGCGTGAGTGTTTACTCAGTAATGATTTGAGTCCCAAGACTTTACCTAAATCCCTTTGCGTATGTTCTCAGATGGGAAAATCATTCATAAATTAAGTGAATAATTAGGACTGCCAATCTCTAAAAATTCAAATAAAATTAATTACATTATTTGCAAAACAATATTAGGGAGGTGAAACGATTAATCGCGATTAATCGCATCCAAAATAAAAGTTTGTGTTTACATAATATATGTCTGTGTATAATTATTTTGTATATATAAATACACACACATGCACGTATATATTTGCATGTATGCTTTATATATATTTATACAAAATGTATATTATACATAAATATTTGATATATTCATAACACATTTTTCTTAAATATATACATGCATGTGTGTGTATTTATATAAAACAAAATAATTATACATACAAACTACACACACATATATTATGTAAACACAAACTTTTTTTTTTGGATGCGATTAATCGTGATTAATCGTTTCAAAGCCCTAAACAATATATCAAATTAATCTAATATAAACCAATATATCAATATTTCTAGAGATAATTCAAAGACATTACATTATTTTGGCAGGATTAATATATTGTTAATATATTGTTTGTTTTATTTGTATTTCATTAAACATAACTGTATAAAAGTATGGGATTAAATTACTCATCAGGAGCCATGATTAACTTTTCATTAACATGTTAAACTGACATTATATTTTTATATATTAGAAAAAGGCATCAAGGTTTCCTATAGTTTATAACAATTTATAATAATTATATTTAGCTTTATATAAAAACAACACAAGTGTACGACACATCCTCATTTAGATTAGTAAATTTGTGTGTGTGTGTGTGTCTGTGTGTACCTACTTATTTTGGGGGGAAATTTGTACCCAGATGCAAGCTAAATCTTTATGTGTAAAAAACTGGTATAAAAATAGGAATAGTACATAAAGTATAAGTGTGTAATGTGATCATGCGTGTGTGTTTTCATCATACCTGAGCTTGATCTTACGATTACACTCATTCTCCTCCTCACTGAATCAAAGTTCAATACTTCCAACAGCTCAAATCTGTGAATGCATAAACACAACCAGATAACGTAAGGAGTATTTCCATTTAAAAGGACATCTATGTACAGATAAATCAGAGGTGCTGACTGGATCCTTTGGGATGAATCTTTATCACAGACAGATGAGTTTTTATGTGACTGTGCTGACCCTCATGTTCTCAGCAGTAGGACAGTGTGTAGCTGCACTAATTATGGCTGATCCTTGTCCTTCAAGGACATTCACACACACACACACACACACACACACACACACACACACACACACACACACACACACACACACACACTGAACAGAGAAACTTCACTGCTTGCCGAAACATACTGTATAACAGTGTTATTTTAATAAACACACAACTATATTAATATGGCAACCTGCTGGGTAAATACACAAATGATTATAGATCAAACTGTTCCTTTGCTGAGGTCTCTTTCTCACACCACATGTGGGAAAATTACATAGCATGACAAGAAAATTAAAGCTGCAGGCACCACAGGGGGGGTTAGCAGCACTGCTAGTGCTAGTGGTGTGAAGTTAAATGTTTATTTTTTAATTATATGCAAATAAAAATGTTCAAATGCACAAAAAAGTGCATAAACAGTGTGTGTGTGTGTGTGTATACATATATATTAGGGCTGTCAAGCGATTAATCAAAAAAAATAAAAGTAAAATCCAAAATAAAAGTTAGTGTTATGTGGGTGCACTGTGTATAATTATTTTATATATATATAAATACACACACATGCTTGTATATATTTAAGAAATATTTTCATGTATATACTGTATATAGATTTATATATCATTTATATTATATATAAATATAATATTTATATCTATAAAATAATTATACACAGTGCACCCACATATATTATGTAAACACAAACTTTTATTTTGGATGCGATTAATCACGATATATATATATATATATATATATATATATATATATATATATATATATATATATACACACAGTTTTTAAGTAAGAAGTATTAATTATCATATTCAAATATTTATTTAAAAAAATATATAGATTTACATATGATAAATGCAGTGTGGGATATGTTTAGAATATAGATTTGCTTAATGTCTGCAAACTCATTAGTATATTTATAAGTAATTATTAGTATTATATAATATAAAATGTTAATTATCATATGCAAATCTATATTTAAACATATGCTTCTATTAATAATTGAATTTTTATAGTCTTGTATTCATTTTACTATTATTTTAATAACACTATTACAAACTATTTAAAAAAAACTCAGACCGGGCTAACTGTCCAAAAGACATCAGAATGTCGCCGGTTTCCTCCTGGTCATTGCGCTCATGCTGTTGTCCAGATGGCTCACCTTTCCATTTCATCCTCTCTGTTAAGGATCTCCATGTGACTGTCCTTCAGACGGAGATAGGTGAAGCCCAACCTGAGCAGGTGAGAGAAAGAGAAAGTCAGCTTTGTTTCTTATTCTTAAAACTTTGACAGCATTTATTAATCTTAGTTAATGTTAATCTCAACATGTTTTAAGGTCAAAAGTTATGTCAGTTGACATTAGTCAATGCACTTTTGAACTACAGTTTTTTATTAACATTAACAAAGGTTAAAAGTAGGGTAGGCAATTTTTTTTTATAAACAATGATATGCATTTTTGATAGCAATCAATAATAGAAGCAGTCTAAATATTAAAACATGTACATATATCTTTGTGGATGTCTCATGACCAAAAAAATGTCAGTCCGGTCAAAGCATTTGGTCCAAATGCATTGATAGGATGTCTCGTCTGCCTGTCAACATATGTACTGTATTTCCACACCTCCGCGACACCCTGCCCGTTTGTTTTATTTTTTCCCAAATTCCGTTTTTTTCCGTTTTAATTTTTGGGAATTAGGGAGTTTTTGGGAGTTGAAATGATGGGTTGAGGTTTTGTGTCACCCAGATTTGCTTCCCCTGGTCTGCATAATTCCCAAAAATTAAAAATGAAAAAAACGGAATTCGGGAAAAAAAAAAAAGAATTTGGGAAAAAATAAAACGGAATTCGGGAAAAAATAAAAGACCAGGGGAAGCAAATCTGGGCAACACAAACCGATCAACTTGTCATTTCAACTCCCAAAAACTCCCTAATTCCCAAAAATTAAAATGGAAAAAACGGAATTTGGGAAAAAATAAAACGGAATTTGGGAAAAAATAAAACGGAATTCGGGAAAAAATAAAAGACCAGGGGAAGCAAATCTGGGCGACACAAACCCCTCAACCCGACATTTTAACTCCCAAAAACTCCCTTATTCCCAAAAAATAAAACAGAAAAAAAAACGGAATTCGGGAAAAAATAAAAAGGAATTTGGGAAAAAATAAAACGGAATTCAGGAAAAAATAAAACGGAATTCGGGAAAAAATAAAAGACCAGGGGAAGCAAATCTGGGCGACACAAACCTCTCAACCCTTCATTTCAACTCCTAAAAACTCCCTAATTCCCAAAAATTAAAACGGAAAAAACGGAATTTGGGAAAAAATAAAACGGAATTTGGGAAAAAATAAAACGGAATTCAGGAAAAAATAAAACGGAATTCGAGAAAAAATAAAAGACCAGGGGAAGCAAATCTGGGTGACACAAACCCCTCAACCCCTCATTTCAACTCCCAAAAACTCCCTAATTCCCAAAAATTAAAACGGAAAAAACGGAATTTGGGAAAAAATAAAACGGAATTTGGGAAAAAATAAAACGGAATTCGGGAAAAAATAAAAAGACCAGGGGAAGCAAATCTGGGCGACACAAACCCCTCAACCCATCATTTCAACTCCCAAAAACTCCCTAATTCCCAAAAATTAAAACGGAAAAAACGGAATTTGGGAAAAAATAAAACGGAATTTGGGAAAAAATAAAACGGATTTCATAGGGCCCCACAGTTGGTACAAGTAAGAGTTCTGTAATTATTGTAATGTTCTATAGTTTGAGACTTGAGGTGATTTAATGCTGTTTCTCGTCTTGTGATGCTTTGCAGACTCTGCTGTACACATTCATGTGTTTTGAAGGAGGTGTGGCTTTGTCGAGCGCTCTAAACAAGGGGGTGGGATCTCAAACTTCCAATACTAGCTTGCTATCACTAACCTCTCCGAAATTGCCTACCTTTAATAAATGCTGTAAGACTATATTGCTCATTGTTAGTTCATGTTAACTAATGAAGTTAACGTATGTTGTAAAGTGTTACCATGTGTGAGTTTAAGTATGCATGTGTCTTGCCTTTTCATTCCCTCCACCAGCGCAACCTCGTCTGGAGAGGAGGAGATGTAGAAGGAGGTGGATTTGCCCTGATGGATTCCTCTCTTAATGCCGTCCACCGTCTCCTCTTCCTTCACCTGGACTGTGTGACACAGGCACAATGCACGGAAAAACAGCTCCTCTCGCTCCTGATGAGACGCACACACACACACACGTCAAGAGTCAGAAATGACACCACGCAACGAGAGATTAAAAAGACAATTGGTTGTCTGATAATTTCAAGAAGACCGAAATGTTTCCCCTGAAATACGGTGTACAAAACGTTTGCTACAAAGAGTTTCCAATTCCTAAAGCAAAAAGAGTGTTTAAAACAGTAATATACTGTATTAAATGTAATACTAGAAAAAAAGAAATCTCTTCTGCTCACCAAGGCTACATTTATTTGATCAAAAATACAGTAAAAACTGTGAAATATTCTTTCAATTTGAATTAACCTATTTATTTCAATATATTTTAGAAAGTAATTTATTCTTGTGATGTAAAGCTGCATTTTCAGCCATTACTCCAGTCTTCAGTGTCACATGATCCGTCAGAAATCATTGTCCATGCTAAACAGCAGCTATGGAAACAAACACCAAGCTCACCTTCCCGTCTACGCCCGGAGAGGAGTCGATCATGTCCATTCCCGCAGCTCCAGGTAAGATCTGCCCGTTACAGATGGCGTGCGGCACATACACGTGCCCATCCACACAGCATTCCCTCAACTCCATGTTATTTTCTGTCAAAGTGCCAGTCTTGTCTGTGAAGACATATTCCACCTGTAATGGAGAAGGAAATAAAAGAGAGAGAAAGTGAACACATGTTGACCCGGACAGTTTTGAAATGTACTGAAATGGTTTCGCACCTGTCCAAGTTCCTCATTAAGATCCGAGGTATTGACGAGCGGTCGCTCTCCGAGCTCCTCGTCGAACATGTCATCGTCCCACAGGATGAAGTACGAGCCCAAGAACTTCTGCATCTCCACGGTAACGTACATGGACACGGGAATGATGTAGTTGAACAGAACCATGTAGGCCAGGAAGTCTGTGAATGCCCGGATTAACTGAGGAGGCAAATAATGAAGGGATTTAAATAGTTTTGAGTTTCATTTTGAGCATTTGTTTTGCTTTTTGTTAAGTGTGAGTATAAAATAGTTTGATAAAATAGTTTTATACTTTGAAAGTATAAAATATAGTAAGTAATATATATATACATACACACACAGAATATATATATATATATATATATATATATATATGAAGAGTTCAGATGCAAAAGCCTCTAAATGCCATTTGAAATTTTCTTCTTTAATGATGATTTTTATCAAACTTGTATATTTAAGTTCAGTAATTTCACTTAAATAACAATTAATAGGTAATTAGCATTGCCATTTAAGTGAAATTACTGAACTTAAATATACAAGTTTGATAAAAATCATCATTAAAGAAGAAAATTTCAAATGGCATTTAGAGGTTTTTGCATTTGAACTCTTCATATATATATATATATAAAATAAAACAATATAGCACATATAATAGCACTACTAGCACTAACAATATAATAGCACGTACTACATGCCGCTGCCTCTCAGTCTCAGTTTTCTGGTTGTACCAGGGCTCGTCTCGGTTTGGGTCGGCCTGCCAGACGTACTTGAGGAGTGTATTGATCAGAGCTTTACTGATCAGAATGCAGAGGTACACAATCAGGTAGGCATTCATTGACCTGCAGGACAAACAGACAGTATGATCTTAGATCCATATAATCATTTATGGACCTAATTATACTGACACGTATCATACTACATCAGGGTGATGAAATCCATCCGCAATTGACCTATGTCTAAGCCACGCCCTCAAACGCGATGAGCCAATACACTCGGACATTCTCGTCCATTGAAATGCATTGCAGTTAGTCAGTTTTCATTCGTTTTTTCTTCTCATTTTAAGTTTAATGGGTACATGCATCTCCGACCCTTTTACCGTTTCCCAAACCACATCTCAATCGCATAACTTAAACAAGAGCAGTGTCTTCTAGGTATAGCCATAGGTCAATTACTTTCCCTGAGAGTCTCGTATCCTGCCCGAATGAGATCTATAATATTAAATTAGGGTAAAAAAAAATAAAAAATCAACATAGATTTGATTGAAAAAGTCAATGATATCCAAACTTTTGAAAGAAGATCTCTGGAAGTACACCTGCTTATTCAATATAAACAGATTTGATGTATTTTCTTGCTGGCTGCATTTATCTGTCTGACAGCATTGTCAGCGAGACACATATGAGCGCAACTTGATACAATTCGTGACAACAAATACAAAACGGACACTAAACGCATTACGCCGTGCAAGATAAACCGATCGAAAGCCTATCATAGTGTCTTACTTTTCAACAGCGGAGCGTTTCTGAGACTTGGACTGGTAGTTGAGGGCCATCTTGGTTTCCATGCCTGTGTAGATGGCCACAGCTAGAGAAACAAGAGAAGACGAAAAGCATTTTGAGAACATAATTCTCTTATGAACATCTCTATGCAGCCTCTTTGGTGTTATGACAATGTGAAACCCGTTGTTACATAACTGAGCTCTCTTTGTCTTACCCATACGTACGGTAAGCCATAATGGCTCGGCTGTAACAAAGTTAAACATTTTTAGAGCTTGCCCTGCACTTACAATCCTCACGTGTATAATGTGACATTCATCTCCCTCTCTCGCGCTTTCTCTCACTCTCTCTCTCTCTAGCAATTAAGAACTTCTCTCTGATCTCACAAGCTTCAGTGACTCATTTAATTACAGTGGGAACAGAGTGACAAAATGACTCAACCAGCAACTCTTCTCTCATTCTCCTCCTGCCCTTCCTTTTGCCAACAAAACTGATCACACATGCATTGTACCGGGTTATAGTGATAGATCTTGGCATCACTGACATCAGTAGGTTTAGATTAACATCTAATATATACCTTGAATGCATCGCATGACGTTCACAATAAAGTGTCTGCCAAATGCATAAATATACTGTATGCACTTAAAGGAGTAGTTCACTTTTTTAAAAAAACTTTTGCTGATAATTTACTCACCCCCATGTCATCCAAGATGTCCATTTCTTTCTTTCTTCAGTCGAAAAGAAATTAAGATTTTTGATGAAAACATTCCAGGATTTTCTCTACAATGGACTTCAATGGGAACCAAACGGTTCAAGGTCCAAATGAGAGTTTCAGTGCAGCTTCAAAAGGCTTTAAATGACACCAGACGACGAAATAAGGGTCTTATCTAGGACTCTTCGAGTCATGACTCGAAAAAAGATTCGTTCATTTTGACGAAAGAGTTCGAACAGGAGTCATGAACGCACGTCACGGAACACAGCAAGGCGAGCATTTGTGCTTATAAAACTTAAACTTTTTTATTTATTTTTGAAATGGCCGATGGTTTCACTAGTTAAGACCCTTATTCATCGTCTGGTGTCGTTTAAAGCCCTTTGAAGCAGCACTGAAATTGTATTTTGGTCCTTTAACAGTTTGGTTCCCATTAAAGTCCATTATATGGAGAAAATCCTTCTTTTCTTTTCGACTGAAGAAAGAAAGACATGGACATCTTGGATGACATGGGGGTGAGTAAATTATCAGCAAAGGTTTTTTAAAAGTGAACTACTCCTTTAAATGATATGTAAATATATAGTGTGGATTTTATTACCATGTATGTATTCAGTGTTTTTCAGTGTGGCTCCGCGCAGCAGCAGGTTCTCAGAACCCAGGGGTCTAAAATAATCAAACAAGATCAAATTGAGCATCACAAAGATGAACAAATTATGCTCACATCTTTTGACAGTGAACACACTGTAGTACAATTGAGTAAAGGTGAATTAAATGGTAAATGGAAAATTAAAATAAATGGTGACCAGTAAAAGCAATGAAATATACACACATATATTCATATGAATATATGAAAATATATATTCGTGAAGATGCCTAAATAAATTATAATGCAGTATATAAAATGCAATATACAATCATAAATATTATTGTTTTTTTATTTTAAATACTATATTTATTAACATATTTGCAGAGTTGAACTGCACCAAGATACCAATATTTGCATTATACATGAAATATATAATATCTCATTACATTTACTTACATACTCTCTAAAAATGCTGGGTTGTGGTTGTCAAATAAAAAAATGTAATTAAAAAAATTTAACCCAATGGCTGGGTTTGTCCATATTTGACCCAAAGTCGGGTTAAAACAACCCAGCAATTTTTAAAGTCTATTTGTACCAAAATACAAAATTGTTTATTAAAAGTTAGAATGGACTGCAAGTAGGGATGAGCAGCGATTAATCGTGATTAATCGCATCCAAAATAAAAGTTTGTGTTTACATAATATATGTGTGTGTAGTGTGTATAATTAATTTGTATATATAAATATATACAAAAATATATAGAAAAATGTTATTAATATATCAAATATTTATATTTATATATAATTTTAATTGTGAATAAATATATATAAAATATATACATGCACATATTTCTTAAATATATACATGCATGTGTGGGTATTTATATATACAAATTAATTATACACACTACACACACATATATTATGTAAACACAAACTTTTATTTTGGATGCGATTAATCGCGATTAATCGTTGCCCATCCCTAACTGCAAGGAAATCTGAATGGGAACATTTCTTTCGTAAGAATCAGAATTGGAGGAGAGAGCTGTTCTATGAAAATGACAAATTGTCCCTCCTGAATTCAATCTTTCACACACTGGCCCTTTAATTAAGAGTCAATTTCCTGAGTATAGATTTACCTCGCGATAGGTTCGTCACGATCCAAATAAATATTGATGCGTCCCACAAATCTACAGCGGGAGAGGAAGAAAAGACAGAAATTAATGACTAGCCTAGCCTGGGCTTTGTGTGTGTGTGTAGTTAAGACACCATGTGAGAATATTTGTGTGGGGTATCTGGAGTGTGTGTCATGCATCAACAGTAGTCCTATGCATACTGTGTGTTTTTACAAGAGAAAGCAAGGGTTTGTTTATGTGTTCACAGCCGATACTGTGCGTATTACTCACTTGTAAAGGTCCGGCTGGGGTTGTTCGCATTCTATCGTGGCATGCAGTGTGTCCACCTCCTCTGCTGTGTTGAATGCCTTTGTGTCCTGAACTGCATAATAGGTCTTTGTGTAGAGAGGAGAGGACGAGAGAAACCAGTCGACATTCCAAGGTCAAAAACTCTCACACGTATTTCTACAATCTCCTATCAAATGAGGGTAACTGGCAGTGCGACCAACACATTTCAGTCACAATGTATGAGAACAAAACTCGGAAGAGCTGCTTTATAGCTGATGCGACTTTGTTTCATAATTAATGAATTTTGCCACATCAGCAATCAATACTGAACTAACTTGTGCTGAATTAATGACACTATTGTCTTTTTTAGAGCTTCTTTACAGCAGAACTTGAATTTGATGAAGTTTGCATCACTGATTCTATTATTTTCCTGTTTATTACCGAGAAGCTGCTTTGAAACTATCGGTAACACTTTACTTGAAGGGGTGTGCATAAGACTGACACTTTAATATGAAGTAGGGTTTATGACAACTGTCATTAAGTGTCTTTCGCTCAATAATGACATTTTGAATGCAAATATGACTTTGTTTAAGATTTAAACAATTAAATCAAGTTAAACTCTCACGTGGTTAGTCATAAACTCCTAAATTTAGGAATAATAACAGTGATGAAAATGACCAATCACCTTATGGCTGGACTCTCCATCTAAGCTGGCTGTTGTGACGAAACATGTCCCGTCTTCTCTACTGGTGGAGAGCAGTATGAGGTCACACGGAAACGTCTCATCCTCCTTCACCTGGACAATATCACCCACCTGAAAGGTCAAACAGCAGGAAAGGGTTCATACCCATACTGCAGAGCTTTTGAATAAAGGAAGATACACAGTCACACTAAAATCAACTATAGACAAAGGCTGTGTCCGAAATCTCCCACTACTCACTATATAGTGGACTATATAGCGAGCTCGCCATTTTGTAGTGCTGTCCGAATGTATAGTGATGATTATTATACCCTATATAGTCCACTCAATGTATCCCAGAATGCATTTTGAAAAGTTGATGGTCACTAACCCAAGACCTACATACCATCATGCATTGCGCTGATCGTAAAAATGGCGGACGGGCGACAAGGGGTGCAGAGCGACAATACAAATCTGTCATAGAAATGTAAGTTATGTTCTGCCTCATTTAACTTATGATATGTAGTAGTTTTACAATTTTGTCAGACATGTATAAATTGTTTGTAAGCACGCACGCGTTTAAATAGTGCGATGAGTTGCCTAATGAGTTATAGATAATGGGTTGAATGTTGTTGTTTTTTAACCCTTATGCTGCATTAGGGACATTTTTGGTCTTTTGCAGTTTAATTTCTTTGACCATTTTGGCTGTTTTAATGCAAATGGTATGAAATTTGGCAAAATTGTGACTTTTTGGATACATGTAAAAAATGTGATCCCATTTTGCAAAATATGTATAACACACACTGTGTAGATCAAATAGTAACACTCAGCACCATAAAGACCAAAAATGGCCCATTGAAACCCATTAAAACGTTGTTTAAATCTGAGGCTGTCAGTAATACATGAAACATGATTTTTGCACAAACATCCTTTCATTTTGAAGCAAAAGCATTATATTTGCATTATATAGTGTATTCCACCAGATGACGTCACTACATATTTATTCCCTATGGGTGGAAATGCACCTTATTTTAGGCAATAGGCAATGTTTAATAGGTGGCCATTTTTGGTCTCTAATGCGCTAAGTGGTATTTTTTGCAAAGTGGTACTGTGATAATCCAAATATAAAGTTTTCTCTTTGCATTTAGTTTATTGAAAATAATTGAATTTTTGTGTTTTTTCCTCTTATACAAATCGATGGTTTCGCAAACAAAACTGGTAATTAAAGGGTTAAAATCCTGAAATTGAATACATTTTTGGTAGTTATGATGAGGACTGATGCTGGTTAAAAGATTTAACTTGGTAAAAGTGGAAAATAATAATAATATATAATATTTTAGGCAATGTTTAATATGTGGCCATTTTTGGTCCTTAATGCACTCAACGGTGTTAAAAATCTAATGCAGCACAAGGGTTAATAGTGGGTACAGGACACTATAGTTTATTTACGTAAGTGAGGATAGCTAAATAAAATAAACAGATTTATTATACACAAAAATTCTTCATCCCAGTGAAATTTAGGACCAAAAATGATTCAAACCCTTTGACCTGACCATGTTTTGCTTAAAGGAGTAGTTCACTTTTAAAAAAAAACTTTTGCTGATAATTTACTCACCCCCATGTCATCCAAGATGTCCATGTCTTTCTTTCTTCAGATGAAAAGAAAGTAAGGTTTTTGATGAAAACATTCCAGGATTTTTTTTTCCCATATAATGGACTTCAATGGGAACCAAACGGTTCAAGGTCCAAAAGACAGTTTCAGTGCAAACTACAAACTGTTCAAAGGGCTTTAAACGACACCAGACGATGAATAAGGGTCTTATCAAGCGAAACGATCGCTCATTTAAAAAAAAAATAAAAAAAGTGTAAGTTTTATAAGCACAAATGCTCGCCTTGCTTCAATGACTCGAAATGACTCGAAAAAAGATTCGTTCATTTTGATGAATGAGTTCGAACAGGAGAGTCACACAGAACAGAGCAAGGCGACCATTTGAGCTTATAAAACTTAAACTTTTTTATTTATTTTTGAAATGAGCGATCGTGAACCGAAAGTGAACTAATCCTTTAAGTGTTTTTAAGTGACCTTTTAACACCACAGACTGAACTAAATGAAGCGGTATTATTTAATTGTGTACTTCACTTCAACAGCGGACACCCATTTCACCTCATTCATTTGTTGGACAGTCTAACAGAAGGATGGCCAAAACCAGTTGTCATATTTTATTACCATTTTCGAAACTACAGCGAATAAACTGTGATAATGTTGAATACATTTAGGTTTGACTGTGTATTCATGAATCTACATCAATGAAAATCCTGATCTTGGTAATTGTTCCCGCTGGCCTGTCTGCGTGTGTTGCATAACGGATTACAGATGCCGGCCGGATTATCAGTAGGAAAAGCTGTGATGGTTAGTATTCAAGCACATTTTTCCTTTATTCTCGCAGCTTTCAGTGTTTTTCAATGTTTTTTTTTTCTCACTTTATTGCATGAAATCATGCAGAATGAATTCTGGATAGCAAAAATACCATGAAAAACAATGGGATGATCAGAGTGAAAAAAATCATATTTTTTAGGGGGGGGGGGGGGGGGGGGTTCTAAACTAATAAAGACATTTTAAGAAAATGCACTGATTATATAAAAAAAAAATACTGATTATTTCATATTGAAAGAGAGTGAGAGAGCAATAGTTCCACAATTAAATAACAAAAGATTCCCAGTGCATTGTGGGTAACGTGGGCACACTGTCATCCTGCTTGTTGACATGCCAACATTCTGTTTCCAAACAGCAAGCTGGCTGTGTAAGCAGAATGCTGGTTAGTTAGTAGAGCGAAACTTTGTTGATTTATTTCTCTGAGAATAAAACAACAAAAAATTTTCAGCATTTAAATATATTTTATTTTAGAACGAAGAGCACTGTTTAGGATTTATATGCGCTTAGCTTACTCACCCGTAGCTTTTGACTCTGTTTGCGTACGACTTTGCCATGCTGGATGACGTGGACCGGACATTGGTTTATAGCGTTGTCCGCTTTGTGCCTGATCCAGTCCTCATAGCCCTGCAGAGAAGAAGTGAGGCGAGAGAGACGAGTGAAGGAGTGACGTCACAATTATAACGCCAAATAGATAGGAAAGTCAGGGGCCTTTTCTCACCTGTTTAATGGCTGTAACAGTGATGACGAAGAAAAGAGGCAGACCGCTGGTCATAGGACTGGTGGGTGTGTCAATGATCAGCTACAGAGAGGAGAGATGGTGAGAGCGGAAATATCACACATCACGCTGTCACAGAAAGGTCAACTCATGCTAATGGGACAATTTCCATAAGTGACACCATCACACACCTGCACTAGAAAGATGATCAGAAAATAGAAATTGGCGATTCTTCTGAACTGCTCAAAGAGATTCTTCGGTATAAAATTCCAGAAAGTGTACTGTGGAGAGAAAGACAGATGTTTGAAAGCAAAAACAGCCCAGAATTCACGAGCCTTGTCCAAATGAGGTTCGTAGATCAAAAACACCTATTAAAGCTACACTGTGTAACTCTTTTAGTTTATTCTTAGCTAAAAACTACACTAAAAACACAAAAATATATGTGCTCATTAATGTATATTTACTTCGTTCAAGTAATAAAGTATTCTCGTGAGTGTATAATATGCCATTGAAAATACATACGGGTAAGGGCTTCTAATGTCGGTCGCCATGTTGCCCCTCCATCTTGAAAGTACATTAGCCAAAGAGGGACACACCCATGAATTTAAGCTTCGCCTTTCGCGTTTACGTTTGAGTTAACACTCATGGACGAGGTTGAACTGGAAGCCATGTTAATCTTGGACTACATTGGCCACCGTAGGAGTTAAAATGAAATCAATCAAACTAATATTCACTGGATGGTCATATACCTTTTCACCTCTAGATGGGGGTAAAAATCACACAGTGTAGCTTTAAGAAACACTTTAATGAAAAAGTGGCAAACATTTCAGTTACATGTGACCTTTATCAATGGCTACCCTAGTCAAAAAAAAAAAAAAATACCGAAAAAGGCTAAGTATACTACAATTACATTTACATATTTGTGTACTTAATATAAATAGATTGCGATTGTACTTTTGGCATACTAAATTCATACACTTCAAAGTCTGATGTAAATTTATACACTTTAAAAACTAATTTTGTACTTAATGCACTTTAGTAATCCAGAAATAGTGCTGAGGTGCAACTAAAGATATACTTAAGTATGGTTGATTGTGCTTAAGTGGAACTATTGCAAGTATACTTTAAGGTACACTTTAAATATCTTACATTTAAAGACTGATATTATACAGTGTTATCCTTCCTAATAGTGATATGTGAGTATTTTAGGCAAAATGTGCATTGCGCAAAAAAGAAGTACTGCAACTAAATTTTAATTATATTTATATCCGTAAGTCTCAAGCGATAAATCTAAATACTGTACCATACTTAGTATGAAACTAAACTAAAAACTATGACAATGACCACTAAAACATTTTAACTGCAAATTTAGTTTAAATCAGTATAAAAACAGCAGATGATAACTTTATTTTTATGTAATTTTTTGATGTTTATGCTTAAAACAACCAAAAAACAAGCCAATGTAAGAAAAATAAATGTAACTTTAATATACATATATACACTTTCTAAAGAAATTATTATCTTTTAAATAATAGCAAATATCTATACCTTTTTATCTTGGAAAATAAAACAAAAATAATGATTAAGAAAATGTGTTTTTCTTTTGTCATACAAGACCACCTCATCATCCTTTCATTATTTATTAGGCAAGAATGACTGTCTGACTGTACGGTACGGTACGTATTGTTTTTTGGAGCACATCTGACCTTTGAGGAGACGATTCTGTTGTCAGGAAATCTCTGCGGGATGTACGCTTCTGTTCCTGGCGGAGGCTCTTTCTGTCCAATATAAACCGTCCTGTTGTCCACCCAGTTCTCCTCTCCTGTACACTGAAACAAAGTGACAGACCATTCTTTTAGTCAATCAAAGATATTCCTGCATCATCCATCTATGTGACTGCTTCCTGTTGAAGAGCACACTCTTTAATCGGTGTAAACACATTCGGAGTTCACAGGTCAGACCAAACCATTGGAGAAAACAGATGCACGCTTTCAGCTACAACTATAGAGTCGCTCTGATGAGAAAGAGAACAGATACAGAACTTCCCGTCATGCTTCATTCGACTCTCAAAGGCAGAGCGAACATAGTTTCATAACAAAGAGCGAGAGAGACAGACAGAGAGACAGAAAGAGAGAGGGGAGGGGGGGGGGGTAACAGACAAGGGAAAGTACATTATGATACTAGAGTTTTACATTTCGCCCTGAAGATGCTTTACGGTGGTTGCCAGTCCATTGCTTTCTGGTTGCTAAGGTGTTCAGGTGGTTGCTAAGTGGTATTCTGTATGATATTCTGGCTTGCGTCTCTACTTCAATGTAACTCTGTGTTTTTTTCACTTGTTTTATAACCCATTAGGATTTTTTTTTACATTATATTATATTTAAAGCACTTTTTACAATACAGATTTATCAATGCAGCTTCACAGTGATAGAGCCTGACCGATAAAGGATTTTGAAGGCCAATACCAATACAAACATTTGTTGGTTTTAAAATCCGATATATCGGCCGATATTTATTTATTTTTTTTCCAGAAAACGCGCAACAAAACATTAACAAATGTCCCTAACATTAATTATTTGTAGTTATTTATGAGTTTTAACTAAAATAATATGATAACGCATTTTAAAAAGAAACGTGTTTCTTTTATTGTCACAACTGAACAAAGGAACCTCAAAACATATTAAAGTTCTGATAAATAAAATAATAATTAGTCCCTTATAAGCTACCTTATAATTACTATGTCAGCTTGCTTATCCCTTTACCTGCACTTTTTAAATTCTTCCCATTCAAGCTACATCAAACCGGCATTTTTAGCGATTCTAAATCCGTTCTAATTTCGTCCGTTTTTATTTTATTTTTGAAATATTCATTTATTGGCCATTATAACTGCCGATACCGATAGTTTGGAAAATGCCTAATATCGGCCGATAATATCGGCCTGCCGAAAAATCGGTCTCGATCTACACAGTGATAACATGAAAATAATACGACAAGTTCGTTTCTAGAAGAAAATTGCGTCAATGTCCACCTTAAGTAAGGCAGATCAGTAATATTGTTGAATATTAAATGTCCCCAACTCGCAATAGACATGAAGGACTATAATGTTTTTAATAATCAAATAAATTAACTAAAACAACAAACTGAAAAATATCAAAAGCACATAACAAATACTAAAAATAAACAAAAATTAAAATGAAACAAGACCATTCTAATAAAAAAATGATTACTGTAAATAAATTAATAATACTAAAATAACACTGTTATAGATAATAAATATACAGAAGTGTTTCACAGAAGTACGAAAGTGAACATGAGGCTGAGTAAATAATAAGATAATGTTGATGCCCATCTTTTACATTTGTTTCTTGTAGTAGGCCTACATTAACTAAAAGCAAAAAGCAGAAAACTATGTGGTAATAGAACCAACAGCGTGTAAAACTCAACCTAGCAGGTTTGCACACATCATCATTTCTCTCTTTTCCTTTCATTACTCATACTTCACTCAACATGTGCTATTGTGAAGCATCTGCTCTTATACTGCTGCTGACTTCAGACAGCTTTAATAGCAGGTTTGGATTATGCAAGGAAATCTGATCTTGGATCAGGCTGAAGGGAGACACCTAACATTCCAGCACCATTCAACCTGTCTGCAACGGCAGCGAGTGTCAATGGCCGCGAGGGGATTGGCTGGCGTGTGGCTCCGCCTTTCCCCCATAAATCCAGCCGAGCCTCTTAAGCTCTTACGTAAAATGAGAAATACAAGCCATTAGCACTTCAGACACTGCCTGTATCCAGCACCGCATGCAACAGGACACGCATGCAGATATCTGTCATATTACCATCGAGAACATGTCAGATGTGCTTGTGTTTGGCTTTGAGAGGTTTAGGTTTTGTTAGGGATTTGAACACATCTGAGGTCAGCTGTTGGCAACATCAATTACACAAATTAAATCCTAAACCACTCAGACCGACGTCATGAAGCACAGCAATGTCAAATTCCTCACATCAACCTTGATCATCATGGAAAATCCTAAGAGACCCACAGGAAGTCAGTCTGAAGTTTCTCTTTGTGACTCATGCATCTCTATGCCTCTGTGTGTGTGTGTGTGTGTGTGTGTGTGTGTGGGTGATTTTGACCTTGCAGAGTGAGCTCAGACAGCATCCACACTAACACAAATTACTCAAAATGTCTTTCAGCTCCCCTAAAATGACAACGCACATGCAAAGAAAACCAATTCAAGGATACATCTCATAAAATGTGTTAAAAATGCAAAAACAGAAGAAAACAATATGCTTATTTTACTACAATTTTTTTATTTAATTGAGACTTTTTTTTTTAATTTTAGTTTATAAATTAACAAATAAGATAATTTTTCCAATTCTTATAGTAATGCAAAAAAACAAATTCTTTTTTCATTACTATATTGTGAATGTGAAATAAATATTATTATTCATTTATTATTGATATATAATTAGGAGTGCTGGGCAACGATTAATCGCATCCAATTATTTTGTATATATAAATGCACACACATCCATGTATACTGTATATTTAAGAAAAAAAAAGTAATTTTTATATCAAAATACTGTATGTATATTTATATATAATATAAATTTTATATAAATATACATACAATATACATGCACATATTTCTGAAATATATGCATGTGTGTGTATTTATATATATATATATATACAAAATAATTATACGCAGTGCAAACACATGTATTATGTAAACACAAACTTTTATTTTGGATGCGATTAATCGCGATTTTGAATTAATCTCTATTTTAACGAATCCCTTATTTTAACGATTTGAAACACAAGTATGAAGCGTGAAGTTTTAAAGGGTTTGGTCTGAAATAGCTTCATTATTCATAGGCGTGGTTTGGGCGTAACGCGAAATAAACCAATCAGAGCGTCATCCAACATACCCTTTAAGAATAGGCATGTTGGTTTTCTTTTAATGGATTTAAAAAAAAGTTTAAATTAATAATGTATTCACATAGAGTCGAAGTTATCACGTCATTTTGTAGGCCAAAACGCGGAAGTGAGTTAGCATTTTAGCACTACCGGTTCCCTCGCACTAAAGTCTATGGGATTTTTGAATGTGTTTTTGCTAAATCACCTGAAATAAGGTCTGTGGAGGTGAACAAAGCCTCCAAATATTTTCACGTTTTGATCTATGACATAAAACACACAGTTATAACCTGCTTGTGGTTTTATTGTCTGCTTTTGTTTTTTAAAAACTTTATATAGGTTTCAAAATGTATACATTTTGGATTATCTTGTAAAGATTATCTTGATAGACAAAACGTGTAAGGGTCACAACTCTTTGTTGAACACAGATCTTATTTTTTGCGATTTTCCAAAAGTCTAAGGGGAAAATGCATAGCTTTTCGATCGAGGGACGTCATCACTTCGGCACTCTATTTTAATTGTGCTGTTTTTCATGAGATTCACCCTCAAATATAAGGCTGCTTCACAGAATTTGCTAGAAAATGAGTCATAATTCCATTAATGTGACTCGTTTAACGCAAAAAAAAATAAAATTCTAATACAGTACAAACAGACTGAAATCACACAAAGACGTCTTCTGATTTCCTCTCACTCTCTCTGTCTTTGTGATGGAGAGGTGGCTTTCAGCTGAAAACACTGAGCAGCTGGTCAAAGCTTCAGTGAACCCTGATCCCCCATAATCACACCTAATCCACTGCCCTAAAACACACACACTCACACCACCCACAACAGCCAGACCAGTCCAGCACTCGCACAACAAAGCAGTCTGTGTTGTGTCTTCTTCAAGTCACCTGATGGATCACCCCTACATCCTCAGCAGTTTAATAATGGTATATTATCCGTTACTCTTCATATACTCGCCCTCGGCTGAGTTAGGCTCGGGGTGAACTATTCAGCTGAACTAAGGCTGATTGTTCTGAATAATAAAAGAAATCAGACCAAAATCATTGCATAAGCTCCCATGAAAAGTACACAAGCTCATGAAAAGCAAAACGTCACACAGGAATGAGAGGAGGCAGGAGTCTGGTTACTAGACGAAGGGATAATCCCACGGCCGACTCGTGCCTGAGCTCCCGAGGAATAGCTCAAGTAACCCTATACCACACACACACACCATTGCCAACTCTCTGAGTAAACAACGGGTGAGAATTCCTCCAGTGCTGATCCAGGAACAGCTATCCCTGCTAAAATAAACTATATTTTGATGACATACTCCAGGATATGAGTGGCGAAAACTGATTTCAGCAATTTCCGTGTCACCACAGGACACACAGACTGAAACATAATGCTCTCCATGACGACATTTTCCAGACTTTACAAGCTAGCGACAGTTTGATATGTTATCAAACCAAAAATAGCAGGCAGTATGAGAATATGAGAGGAAAGTAGATGCAAGTTCTGTATATGCGGTTCAGCGTTTGGTGTTGGAAGTAAATTATATCATAAATGCGCATTTCTATATATATTTTTAATTTCTTAAACTGAAAAATCAGTTGTTAAATATTTGCTTCGCTCTCATAAAAACATTGTAGATCATCGGATGTGATGTACATGGGGAGTCTAGCATTGTAATTGGGAGATAACTTTTTAAAAAACACCAATTAATTAGTGCAAAAATGAAACAATAATATTATTAATAATAAATAATATATAATTATTATGACATTTAATTTATAAATATAAATTTTGTATTAACATATACTGTCATTTATACTGATTTAAAAAAATTATATTATTTTATTATTTCAATTTTTTTTTAAACAAACTTTATTATTTGATACTTTTTATATTATTTGGCATATATTAACAAAG